TTTGCCCCTTTATACCTGCCTGGCCCTAGGCAAGTGACTTCCCTTCCTGGGAAATGTTGTTCTTCTTAGCATTGTGGAGGTGATTTTATCTGCCTCATAGGATTCGTTTTTGTTTTTTTGTTTTTTGTTTTGGTACCAGAGATTGAACTCAGATCCTTGAGCTTGCGAGGCAGGTGACAGAACCACTGAGCTAAATCCTCGGCCCTTGTTTTTTGTTCTAAGAATTAGAAGTACCTTAAGATAATAGGTACTCAATAATGGACCACAGGAGTTGGGAGTGTAGCTTAGTGGTAGAACATGGGCTTGGGGTACATGAGGCCCTGGGTTCAATCCCCAGAACCAGTTGGAGGGGGGCGGGTCTGATCTTCCGTCACTCACAAAGCCCAAAGCTACAGATATGCAGAGGTCTGGACTACTCATTGCCAATGTACTCATAGAAATGTACTTCTAATTCTTCTAAACCCTCAACTCTGGACACACTAGTCCACTGACTGTACTTCAAACAGGCCTGAGGGTAAGTCCCCCATGTTGATGAGGTTCTCTATTTTTGGAAACCTCTCTTCCCCTATCCATAAATCCTATCTGTGTTAGTCAGCTGTCCATTCTATGGCAAAATTCCAAAAAGAATGACTTATAAAAGAGGAAATTTATTTTGCTTCATGGTTTCAGGGGGCTTAGTCCACAGTCATTTGGGCATGTGGTAGCACCTTATGGTGGGAACACATGGCAGAAGGGACCTCATCATCTCATGATGGCTGGGAAGCACAATGGCAGACAGGAAGGGGCAGGTCCCCACATCCCTTCAAGGGCACACTGTCAGTGACCTACCTTCCTTCCAGCGGCACCCACTTCCTAAAGGTTCCACCATTTCCCAAAGTAGTGCCTCAGGCTGGGGACCAAGCCTTCAACACATAGGCCTTTGGGGGACATTTCACATCCAAACTATAGTCTTACCCGTGATTCAGTCCCAGCCTTACCTCTTCCTTCAGTGGAGTCTTGTTTGCCCTGCCCAAAGGGATCCTTTCTTTTCTGAACATTTAGTCCTTGTCGTCCTGCCAGTGGGGAATCAGTGTCCACTACCTGACAGTATTTCTCAGGCAGAGAACTAAGATAAGATTATCAAAACACTGTCTGTTTTCTTTCCTCCTCACTTTAGATGGTAGGCAGCTGGAGGACCATGAGTGTATCTCATTCTTCTCTGCTAAAGTTACCTTGCACATGGTAGAGCTTCAGAAATATTCAGTCCAAAATATTCGATCTCCTCTTAATTTGGGGTGTGTTTTTATAGTGCCTCTCTTCTTTACAATGCCTCTCTTCTTAAGCCTCTGTCCCCACCTTTGGAGGGAACCTCAGGCCAAGGCAGGAATGGGGGTGACATCCAGGACTTGGATTTCACCTGGGTTAACAAGGCGCAGGGGCACATACTGGGCTCTGGGAGATTTCTTATAAACAGTGAATAATAGCAATGGGACACAACATTTTAATTAACAGTTCTAACGGCTTGTCCAATGTAACCCTCCTGATTTGGAAGGATTAAATTCCTCTTGATGAAACTACCAATCCATGTGGAAAGAAGTCTCATGTGCTGCCCTTATAGTTCCAGCAGGGCCTGGTGGGGCAGGCGGGGTCAGCCAGCAGAGCGTGTGGCTGGTGGGAGCCATTGTCACCAGGCCAGTGAAGCAGCCCTGCCCCTGAACCCATCAGCGACCTGCAGAGGAGAAAAAGAAGAATGCAGAGCTCACCACCCACATACTTTACCAGACCTACATTTTACACCACTTTTTTTTTTTTTTTTTTGAGATAAGGTCTTACTATGCAGCAGCCTAGGCTGGCCTTTAATTTGCAATACTCCTGCCTCAGCCTCCGAAGTGCTGGGACTACAGGCATGTGCCTTGATCCTTGCCTGGTTCCTTTTTGCCCTGTTTTATTATTTGTTTCATTGTCTCCCTCTTTCCATCTCCCTCTGTCTCTCTCGTTGTCTCTCTCTTGCTCTCCTCTCTTTTCTGAGCTATGTGAGGTTAAGTTTGTATAGACAGTCCCCCTTTTATGATGGTTCAACTTGCCATTTTTTGACTTTTGATGGTGCAAGAGCAGTATATGCAGTCAGTAGAAATTTGGAATTTTGATCTTTCCTAGGCCAGTGACATACCTTACGATCCCCTCTCGTGGTGTTGGGCACCAGTAGGTTAGGTGTAGTGGTTGCATTTTGACTTAATTTTCAATTTATGGTGGGTTTATAATATATGGTGGGTTTATAAGTAACCCCATCTAAATTGAGAAGCATCTAAATACCAAAACCCTTACCCCTACTTTAATGTAGATTTCCTAGGAATGATGCTATTCCCTTGCATAACCACATCAGAGCTCTGTTTCATTAAAATTAAACAGTGACATCATCCTTTCACCTACTCTCCGATCTGTCCTCCAGTGTAGCTAAAGGTCTCCAAAACACTCTTCTTTATAACACTTTCCCCTCCCATGTAGGACTCGGGCTAGGGTGAGGTGGAGCATTCAGTGTTCCTTCATTCTGAAATGTTTCCACAATTCTTCTCTACTCCTATAACACCAATATTCATAAAGAATAAAATTCCCTCTTGATACACACCTGTAATTCCCAGCTACTAAGATAGTGAGGCAGCAGAGTTCCAAGCTCAAGGCCAGTCTGGGCTACTTGGCAAGACCCTGTCTCAAAATTTTTTTTAAAAAATTTTTTTAAAGGGCTGAGAGTGTAGCTCAGTGGTAGAGTAGCTTGTCCAACATGTACAAGGTTCTGGGTTCAATCCTTAGTACTGAAATGAAATAAAATAAAGAATGAAGTTCCTTTTTAAAAAATAAAACATTCATAAAGATTCCCAATGCACACTCAAAAAACTGGTATGACTAGGAAATGAATCAAGTAAAGTTGCTGGAGACAAAATCAGCTCATAAAAATCAGTTGCATTTCTACACAATGAACATTCCCAAAAGAAAATTAAGAAAAACGCATTTAGGGCTAGGGATTCAGCTCAGTGGTTCCTCCGCCTGCCTTGCAAGCGGAAGGTCCTGAGTTCGATCCCTGGCACCAAAAAAAAGAAAAAACAAAAAAGAAAGAAAAAAGAAAAACATATTTATAATAGAATTTTTAAAAATACACTTACAAATAGATTTAACCAAGAAGATAAAATGCATGTAGACTAAAAACTATAAAACATTGCTGAAAGAAGTTAAACAAGACACAATGGAAAGACATCCTCTGTTCATGCTTTAGAAGAAATAATATTGTTAAAATGTCCATACTTTCTAAAATGATTAAAAATAAATACAATAAAATGATTGACAGATTCCATGTAATTGCTGTCAAATCGTAACTGTGATGACTTTAAAGTGATCTTTCAACATGAAAAATAAACTTCTTTTGGTACTGGGGGTTCAACCTAGAGTCTTCACACTGACTTACATCCTGAGCCCTTTTTATTTTTATGTGGAGACGGTATCGTTAAGTCACTAAGTTATTAAGTTATCCTGGCCGGGCTGGAACTCGTGAGCCTCTTGTGTCAGCCTCCCAGAATGGTGGGCTGACAGGTGCAAGCCACCATGGCCAGTAAAAACTTTCATTTTCAACAGTGATTTCCTACACATTTGTTTTTGGTGCTCAACAGCCCGCTCTCAGTAAAAGCCCTTTCTTCTCTCTCTGTTTGCTTGCTTGCTGCTTTGTTCATTCAGGTGTCTATTTATTACTGGTATGGACCAATAGATTTCTGTTTTTAATGGCCTGTAATTCACTCCCCCTTGTTTGATGCTCCAGTTACCCCACAATCAGCCAGTAGGAGCCCCTTCCTCTGCTCCTGGTCCTTGCACCCCATCATTTTCTGAGCACTTGCTTGCTTTCTGACGAAAACAAGATGTAAAACATCTTTTGAAAGGTGAAGTTAAGAGAGAGGAAGGAGAGAAGAAGAGGAAGAAAATAGAGTATGGGGGGGAGAAAGAGAGGTAGAGAGAAATGAAGAGTGGCCTCGTGAGGACACTGGCAGCACAGATACGGAGCCACTGTCCCTCGGTGACAGGTGACAGGCCCTAAAAGCGGAGCACAGCAGTGCGTTGGACAGACCTCAGCGGGTGCTGTGTGCCGGCCCCCGTGGCTAGCAGGCCTCCTATGTTGGTCGCCACTGTCATTTGAGAAGATGTGACTGAAAAATAAGGAATCAGAGCAGAATCTAGACACTTGAGTGGATGCTAGAAGTCCGTCAGCATCTCCCTCTGTCTCTGTCCCCCCCCCCCCGCTCTCCTTTCCTGGCTCTGTGCGTGTGTGCACGTGTGTGTCCCTCTCTCCATCCTCAGCTCTGCTTCCCCTGTTTCCTGTCCCTTTATTCCTGGTCAGCCTCTTAAGTTGATGGAGGTGCTCGCTGGCCATTCGAAATTGATCCTACTAGTTTAGCAACTCCGGCAGAAATAAAGCCATTCTTTCCCAGAGACTGTGAAAAACTCCCAGGAGTGCCCCTGGCTGACCCGGGCCCCAAACAGTGGCTCTGCCTGGGTGGGCAGCACTCGGGTCAGCCGGGCCTGGGCGAGGAGCCAGAAGCGTGAGTGAGGTCCCCCAAACCCAGGGGCTGGGACCACAGGGAGGACTGGCTCCCCAAGGCTCCCCGCAGACCACTTGGAAGTGCTCCTAGCAGAGAAGGGAGAGAGACAGCAGGAAGGTAACATAAAACTTCGTTCTCTATGGACTCAGGGCGCTTGACAGGGTCAGAATTTGGGCTCTGCGATGTGCAAATAAACCAAGCGTGCCGTCTCGTCATGACCTCCTTTCTCCCCGGCACACAGCCTCTTTCCTCGCAAGAAAGGAAAGCGTGGACACTGCCCCTGGGACTGAGGCCTTGTCTGCCTGACCTCGCTCCTGGCCTGCAGTAATGGCGGGTGCCTGGTGCCCCCACAGGGAGGAGGGGAGGGGCCGCCTTGGGACCCTCATGCTGCCTCTCCCGTCCAGACTGGTTCTTGCTTCATCATTTCTCCCGGCCCAGCAGGCCCGATGGGGACACAGAGCTGTGTTACATCATGTCAGACGGCAATCGACGCGCTGCTAACACAAGCTGACAAGAAGGCCCTAGCAATCTGCTTATCTGGATCCTGCCCTTGCTGAGTAAAGGCCACTATCAGAATTATTCACACGGAATTACAGCAGCTGGGAGTCTGCAGAGTACTCATTACATCACCCTCAGGTTAGTCACTCAGCACGGAGGGAGCCTAGCCTGCCCTGGCCCCTGCCCCTTCCCCGCCCTTCCCCGGCAGGTGGGGTCCTTCCTGGCTCACACACCAAGACCAAAAGTCACATCGGGCCAGTCTCAGAGTGGCCTTGTCTGTGCACAGGGTCTCTTTTCTGAGGTCCTTGCTGTGCAGTGAGCAGAGTCACGCAACGGGGGGACCCTGGAGGAGAAGGAGGCTTGGGACAAGGTAGTGAGGCCCTTTCCTGGAAGGGTCCCGCCAACCTCTGGGCCCAAATATCACTGCAAGCAATTTAATGGACCTGTGGAGTCTCCAGCCTGACTTCCACAGAGGCTGCCTGCTTCCTACATGTCTTGCAAAGGAAAAGACACGAGTACTGAGAGGAGAAGACACCTCAAGAATGCTCAGACCCTCTGAGACGTTCCCAGCTTGCTCCCACGAGCCAACCCTGGCTTCTACCCTTGACACACCCCTCCTGCACCTCCTCAAGCGACAAGCCCACACCTGCAATCCAAACACACTCGGGGTACACCCGGCACATGTCCGTTCCCATGCAAAACCCAGCAAAACTGATGGTGGAGGCTGTGGGAGAGAGGCGGGAAGAGAGAATGTGGTTAAGAAGGTGGGTTCAAAGGCATGGGCCCCTTATTACTGCCATCCCGTAATAACACACAGGAGCAACATGGCCTGAACTTGAAGGCAGGCAGGGCTGGAGGAAGATCAAGGCTTCTGGGAAAGACAGAAGTGCTCTCTGACCTATTTACTGATTTATGTTCAAATTGTGATTCAAATTCTAGCTATACCCTATTTTACACATATCAGAACTTGGCGGAAATTCCCAGCCTGTCTCTGGCCCCAGCTGCTCTCCAAAATAGTGTCCTTGGAACGTGGTGATCTGTGATGTGTTGTGCAAAGCAGAGTCCTCACCCATCGAATTTTTAAGGTTCTGAGGGGCCCAGTGTCCCCCTTATCCTGATGGGACCATAGGCCAGGCCAGAAAGTCAGAGAGTGTCAGGCCAGAGGGGATCCCAGAATGCGTCTGGGAAAACTTCTAACTACCCAGCTCACCTACACAAAGACACAACAGCCCCTGTGTACCAGTCTGCTAGGGTTCACGTAACAAAATAGCCACCGGCTGAGCACCTTAAACAGCAGGAGCTGCTGTCTCCCAGTTCTGGAGGCTGGAAGTCCCAAAGGGAAATGCAAGTCTACAGGACTCATTCCCTCTGGGGGTTGGATCTTCCAGGCCTCTTGCCTTGGCTTAAAGAGGCTCGTCTTCATGTTCGCCTGGGTTTCTCGGTCTCCGTGTCCACTTCCCCTCTTTACTTCAGTCTGCCTGATTAGGGCCTACCTAATGGCATCATTCCAGCTTGATTACCTCTGTGATCATTCTGCATCCAAACAAAGCTGCACTCTAAGGTGCTAAGCCAGTGAGAAGCCAACATACATTTTTTGTGACACAGTTAACCCATCATGCTCTGGTTCTCCTGGCTTCTCATTGCTGTATCTCGGCTCTCAAGGTAGTGCCTTGGTACTAACACTTAATAATTTTTCTGTCAAATCTTTTCCTCCCACAACTATGGCTAATGGGGTGTTCTTGAAATAGGAGAAATCAGGAGATCAGAAACCTGGGGTTTCTTTCCCCTGAGATCTCAGGGCCATTACCCACTGACAGTGAGAGGGGTCTGGAGCCACCTCCAGGTCATGCTGTGGCTCAGGGTGCAGGAGTTTTCTTCTTCTGATCCCCTCAGCCCCATTTTGAGCAGTCTGTGGCTGTGGCTTCTGTATTCCAGGAGGGAATGGTGTTGGTCAGGTTTGTGTCACTATGACAAAATGTCTGAACTTATCAGCTTCTAAGCTGGAAAAGCTCATGGTTTCAGAGGTTTCAGTTCATAGTCACTTGGCGTTGCCACTTTTGGGTCTGTGGTGGCACAGGCAGGAGCACGTGGTGGAGGAGGGCTGTTCGCTTCCTGGTGACCAGGAAGCACTGAGAGACAGGAAGGAGCTGGAGTCCCGGCATCACCTGCAAGGACACACCCAACGTCCTGCCTTCCTCCCAGTAGGCCCTACCTTCCACCTTCCACAGGCTCCACTACTTCCCAGTAACGCCACTTGCTGGGTTCCAAGCCTTCCACAATGGGCCTCTGGGGACATTCGGGATCCCAAACCTAGCACGGGGCTCGAGCAGCAAAGGCCCATGAGGATGCCACTCTTGGTCTTTCGGGGATATTCTAGTTACAAAGAGCACAGTGACACTGTGGAACCCTGACTATTATTATTTTCTTTCTCTCTCGTTCACTCGAGCCGGGTTCCTTTGGCCTCTTGAAGCAGTGAACCAAGCAGTTGGCCCACCCTTTGACCTTTTCAGATGGGGTGCATTGGTGGCCCTGATGGTGCTACCTATAGTGTCCACGCATGAGCAATAAGGAGTCACCCTCCTTCCTTCCTCTTCCAGTCCCCAACAAGGAGAAACAAGCCCACCTGGGCTCAGCAACCCTTTTGCTGCCCTGCAGCACCCCACTCCCTCCCCGCATAACGGCCTGGTCACCCCTAACTCGTTACTCCAGACCCAGGAGGTAAACGCTTCTGAGATGCTTCCTGTTTCCTCTTCTTCCTGTTCATTAACGTGAAGTACCCGTTTCTGAGAAGTGCCCGGCTATTTATTTCAGAACAGGCAAGTCAGAACACAGGTCTACCAGCCACAGTGGGAGAAGGAGGTAGGAGGCGGGGGCTCACGGGCACAGGGGCTCTGCCTCAGGGAGGAAGATGGGTGTTCGCCTGTGGGGTGCAGAGCTCAGGGCTCTGGTGATCCTTTCTGTGGGGCCGGCCTCCTCATGTGCGAAGCAGGGACTGTCCAGATGGAGATGCCAGGGAAGCTCCCCTGGCCACCTGTCCCAACTTGTCCCCCCTCTAAGCAACACTGCTGGAAATTCTATCCTTCAGCTCATGCAGGTTTCACAGAGCCCTGTCAAAGTGGCAGCACTTTATCTTAGCAAGCAGGACTTCCCCAAATTGAGAGACAAATGCCATGCTTTGCTCGAGATGGGCCTCTCCTGGGCTAGGGGGTGAAGTGGGCACAGGGCAGGACCCCGCAGCTGGCCTGGCAGGTTTGCGCCCACTTGCTTGGGAAGTTTGCTCAGGGACGGCCTTGCTCTGCAGATACTGATCCAAACAGCGCCAAGTCGAGGTCCCTTTAGTCACTGCCATCTGCCAAAGAGGACAAAGGCCAGTTCGTGGTCAGAGAACCCAAAGCCCGAGGTGGACTTGGGGAAGGGCAAGTCTGGAAAAATGGCCCTCAGTCAGCGAAGCGAGTTGTAAATGAGAAGCGAAACCTAGTAGGCTCTTTAGACCCTTTCTATTTTACTGCAGATCATCCACAGGGGAGGAAAAATCAGGATTTCTTGGATATGTTTGCCTTTCAAGAACCCTCACAAACCAGAGAGTGAGGCATGATCACCCAAGGGACTCATTTTCCTCATGATGCTGTGAAAGGCCTCAGAGGGCAGCCCCCTCTCTGGGCTTTGTGGTTAGAATGCGGGCTTTAAACATGGGATGGGGCTGAGCGGAGCGCACGGAGCCCTGGCTTCCATTCCCAGCACTGAAAAAACAAAGCAAACTTGGGGTCGAGTACTTTACATAGGGACAACAATAAAAAAGAAGCCTGCCATGCTATGGAAGTCGGGAAGCTTTCCCTACCCATCAAAGGGCCAGGCTCCTTTGTGCGCATGCTTTGTGGCCCACACGGGATTTATAGTAAATGGCCACCGTCGCTTCTCGGCCTTTTGGCTAAGATCAAGTGTAGTAAATGGCCACCAGATGGGGCCCTGGTTCCCCTCTAGCTCATACACTGGCTGGCTTTGTTCTCTTGCTCGTGAGGGCTGATGTTTCCTGAGAAGAACTGTGAGTCCCAGGGAAGATGGTGGGACCCACGGAGACACACGTATGACTTTATTTCTTCAGCCTGACAAGACTCCAAGCTCATAAACGTGGAGAGCCACGGCCATCGACCTAGAGCTCATAGAAGTAGATTTCTTCACACAATGGGATGCAACATGGAAGTCCTGTCAGCTCCCAACACGTATGCAAACCTGAGCTAATTGCTCCCAGAAGCACGTTGACGCTGGATTCAAAGCTGATTTTTACCTCCCAGAGTGTTTGGGTGACCTGGCTGGGGGAAAGAGGGTTGTGGATAAACTTTTTGCTCTTGGAGACCCATCTTTAAAACCACACTGGCCTTCTAGATAAATCATTTAATTTTCATTGTTTAAGAAAAAAATATTTCAGAGACTGAAATCAGTTGTAAGTGGGCATGGGGAACTGCACCATTTTCCTCTCTCTGGCAAACATTGCTAGGACTTTTCCCAAAGACTGAAGTTATCCGTCACTCTGCTCCCGAGGACCAGAGCTCCTCCCAGACATTTCCAGGCCCTGGAGAGGAGGATGAGCCCATAATGTGGTAGGAGTAGAGTAAGGGTGACTTTGGAATTCAGCAGCCTTGCACCTTCAGGAGATAATTCTGTTCACCTCCTTGCAGCCCACCTGCTTTCCTGGGAGGCGTTTGCTGTCTGGAGGTCGCTGCGTTTTGTTAGTTACCGCGTGCACCGGTAATGCTTGGCAGAGCACCAAGCCCAGAGAGTCCTCTGCACCCTCCCTTTGCTTCCCGAGACCACAGGCCTCGGCGCTCCATGTCCACTCTCGGTCTTGTCTCAGAGCACGGGAGGCGAGGCCATGGATGGCACCGGAGTGTCCCTTATGCACCCCAAGGAGGAGCAGACACACGGTGCCTTCTCTTGGCTCCAATCTTCAGGGCCCGAGGGTGCACCGACCATCCCGACCTGCTGCCCACTCTCCCCGAAGATGACGTCTATTTTTTTAATCTTGCAGAGAGCTGCGGAGCAGCCCCTGGCTGTGCTTCTGTCGCAGCCATCTTGGCAAGGCCAGTTCAGTTTATTTTGTTTTCCCGCGCACAAATGCGGGCTGTGCGTGGGGAGCCACGGTGGGCCTGGGTGTTCTGCCTTTTCCTGGGGAGCTCCCCCGCCCCGCTATGGCGCGCGCCTACTGAGCCGCCTGCAGGGAAGGAGCTGCGGGATCTAACGGGGGACCGGGGCTCCCATCAAGCAAGTAGCAACGACAGCCGCCTGGCGGAAATAGCGTGCCCATAGCGGTCAGAGCAACCGGTTAAACTCTGGGCCCTGCCACGTGGAAGCTGTGCGGCTTTGCACCAATTGCTACTGGGAACAAGTTCCCATTTCATTCCCACGCCACAGCCAGGCAGGGGTGAGGGGGGCAGGTCTGCGCCCCAGAGCCCGGGCCGCCTGAGTGCACAGCTGCCCGCGCGCCATCTGCTGGTAAGTAGAGGTAACTCAGCGTTCCGCGGCGAATTTGGAAATGATTTCATCTGGCCCCTTGATTTTGAGTGGAGGAGGTTTGGGGTTGAAGAAGAAGACAGGCCTGTCTGACTTCTCACAGTGGGACAGTCTGGCGTCTGTGGGTCTGAACCCTGCCTTGGCAATCAGGAGCTCACGTAACCTTGGGCGTATTTCGCAACTTCTCAGTAATCAGTTTTCTTATCTATCAAACGAGGGACTTAATGCTCACTACCTCAAGGATTTTTTTTTTTTTTTGGTACCGGGGATCGAACTCGGGTCCTTGAGCTTGTGCAGCAGGAGGCGAAACCCCTGAGCTAAATCCCCGGCCCCCTCAAGGATTTTTTTAAAGAAGATTAAATTAGGCAACCAGAGCGGAGTGCTTGGCACTATCTGACCCCTGTGTAGAGCTTCGCCGCTGGGGCATTCTGCAGCCTAGAGCTATTGATCTGTATTGGTAACTTTCCTGGAATGGACGGCCTTTTCCTTCAGATCCAGAAGCTCTGAGTGCAGTCCTGACCGGCGTCAAAGAAGGATTGACAGCCCTCTGGCCCTTGGCTGGAACATTTGGCCTTGGCTACTGGGTAGAAGAATGGAGATGGCCCGTGGAAGCCATCATGATTCCAGTTCATTGTGCCTCCTCGAGTGACATGGGAACTATACAGATTTGTTAGGTGAAGGACGAGGAAGGAACCCGACACAGAGCTGCTGTGGGCGGAGAAAGTTCCATTTGCACTATCTACTTACAGGAACCACAACACCAGGCATTTCTCTGTCTTTCTCCATTTCTGTAACAATGATATTTAGAAAGACCACTTAATGAACCGTGTAGCACCCTCCCCCATCTCTTTGAGAAAGGCTGGCATTCAACTCCTGGTAATCATCCTGCCTCAGCCTCCGAGTGCTGGGATTTCAGATGTGTGCCACCAAGCCCAGCCAAGACCATATTCTTCAAGTAAGTGTGAACACCTTCCTCCTGTTTGTAACTGGCCATTCTGTTAATAATAGGGACTGTGAACCTCATCAGAAGCCAGAGAGACAAAGAGGGAAACAGAGAATGAGTACTGCCATTTTCTCCTCCTCTTCTCAGATTTTCCAGTGATGCCTTCCATGAGTCTGACCCAAATACACCCAGCAGATAAGGAGCTTCAGCCATGTGCCCATAGATGTCAGTCTCACAGGACACAGGGCAGGGCAGAGAATGGGTCTCAGGGAAAAATGTGGAGAGAAACATCCACAGCTATGGTTTGCACATATGTACAGGAAGTATAAAAATATTGAGACTAGGGCTGGGGATTAGCTCAGTAGCAGTGAGCCTGCCTTGAATGCACAAGGTCCTCAGTTCGATCCCCAGTACCAAAAAAAAAAATTAAGATTATTTATATATTCAACTGTACTTCCGTCAACTTGAAGAGATTCTCCATGAGCTCATTTGTGAGACTTGTGTTTCCAGTGGTTCTATTAAAAATGTTATTTTCCAGGTTGCCTTGCCACCTTTGTCTGCCATGAACTGTTGCCACTCTGCCATGTGCCACCCTGCCTTGGAGCCAGTCAATTATAGACTGAAGCCTCTACAAACTATAGCTAAATAAGTCTTTCCCCTTTTAAGTTTGGGAGTTGGGTATTTTGTCTTACCAATGAGAAAAGTAACTAAGACATTACTCTTAAACTTCTTTGTCCTTTGGAATTCATTTTTCCATTTCGGGGCATAGCTAGTAGGTTGGGACAGCTAGCAGGACAGTTAGCATGTTGGGAGTTTTATTTCTCCTATCTCACTCTCACAAAAATAAAAAAATTTTTAAAAAAGAAAAGAACAAAAAGATATGGAAGCAAAGATCTAAACTAGACTTCTACCTCAAGAAGCTAAAAAAAAAAGTAAAATCTAAAACATACATAAAAATCACTGATACTGAAAAATTAAAAAATAATTCAGTAAGGCCAAAATTTGTTTTGAAAAAAGACCCCTGGCATGGTGGTGCAGGCCTGTAATCCTATTGCTTGGGAGGCTGAGGCAGGAGGATTGCCTCAAGTTTGAGGCCAGCCTAGGCTACATAGTGAGTTCAAGGCCAGCCTGAAATACATAGTGAGACTCAAAAAAAAAATGTTTATTTTCCTCCCTACTCTACTCTTCTTCCCATTCTTGTGGTGGCTTTCACCCAATATCGGATATGATTGTGGTTACTAGAAATTTTCATGGAAAAGGGTAGGGAAATAGACAAGTGTGCCTTTCTAGAACATTCCTCTCCTTACCCCATTCCCCAGCCGCAGTTTGTTCTTCAGTGAAGTCCCCCCCAAAGCCTCATGCTAACATAGGTGGGCTTTAGGGAAGTGGCTGGATCATAGGTGTGTGATGCTAGATTAGGGTGTATGCTACTAGGATTAAGAGTGAATTATAATGAAATTAGTTTATCATAGATCTGGGAGTGTATAATGGAAGTATTGGTATGGGTAGCACCACCTAGAAGGCTGTAGCCTAGATGGGATAAAAGGGAAAGGAAAGCTTGCTGCCTACTGCGTGCTGCTTCCTGCCCGCCCTGCCATAGACTGTTTCTCCTCTATGACACCCTTCTGCCATATCACCCTGCCTTGGAACCAGCCAACTTTGGACTGAAATCTCTGAAAACTGAGCTGAAATAAACCTTTCCTCCTTTAACATGTGAGTGTTGGGTGTTTTGTCTCAGTAACGAGAAAAGTAATAAGACGGGCTGATTCTGGGAATCTGGGCAACACGTGTGGAGGATGCCTGGAGAGGAGGCTTGGAGAAGTAGGCAGGTCCCAGAGCAGGGGAGATGTGCAAGCTAAGAAAGGGCTTCAACTTTATTCTGAAAGGAGCAAGACAGCATCAAGGAATTTCCATAAGCAAGCGACCTGGCCATCACCATTTTGTAGACCAGTCATGGTGGCAGGAATATGGTGGCTAAGAAACAGGAGTAGACAATGTCTTACAGTAAACTAATTGATGACAACGACCTGACCCTAGCCGGTGGCAATAAAAGATGAGGAGAGCCATCGTGGTGTATAAAGAGATACTGTTGTAGTTTAAATGTAGACTGTCCCCAAAAGCCTCATGTGTTCAAAGGTGGAACTTTTAAAAGGTGTTTGGATCATGGGGGCACGGTACTCATGAGTTTACACTTAAATGTGCTGTTAGGGAGTGGGGCTTGATTGGAAGAAGTGAGCCACTGGGGGTAAACTTTGGAGAGTATATCTCCCTCCCGCCTCCTCCCTTGCGCTCTGATCCCTGGGTGCCATGGAATGAGAGCTTCTTGGAACCAGCCTAAATCCCCTGAACCATGAGCCAAATTTAATTTAAGTTTTGAGTGTCAGCTATTTTGACCCAGTGATGGGAAGGTAACTACTACAGATGTTAAGGAGAGGTGGTGTTCAGGAACATCAGGAACAACTTTAGAGTCCGCCTGAAGTAACTGGTTTTATTTCTGTTTGTGCTCTGTTAAATTACATAGGTAGAGGAAAAAACCTCTTTTTCGATGAGTATCTATTGTTTTCAGAACACAGGATCTGTACTGTCTACTCTGTACACAAATTTTGGGTTGATATTAGAGCAATATGACAGCATCTTTCAAGGACTTGTTCTCTAATACTAACTGCCATGAGAACATGCTGGAATAGAAAGTGTATTTGTAACAGGCAGCTCGTGTACCACCCGGGGAGCCAGCCCAGGCTGCTGCAAGACAGGGCAGTGGAAGAGGTCTATGGTGGAACTGCTCACAGCATGGCGGCCAGGGGCAGAGAGGGAAGTGGGGGCAGGGGAGGGAGAGGAACCCTTCCGGGTCACACCCCAGGGAGCTGCCTCTTCCCAGGCCCACTTCCTCTCAGCGGGTTGGCTGTAAACCTCGTAACCCTATCACACTTCGAAAGGCCAACCTAGGAGTAATGAGGCTTTTGGGGGACATCTAGCTAGAAACCAAAACCCTCTGCTTCTGCTCCCCCAAAAGACTCGTGCTCATCTCTTTATGCACAACACATTTAGGCCATCTCTAAGCGTTGTCGAAGTCCTGACGGCTCACCTCAGGCTCAGGTCCAGGGTACCTCCTAAGCCTGTGTCCTCAGTGCGGGTGCCAGCACAGATACTGCCTTGCATAAGGCAGAAGGGACCCCAGGAAATGGAGGGTCTTTAACTAGACCATTTCTTGTTAAATTTTTCCCATGAACGTGTTCCACAAACCATGGTAACAAGCTCCCTGGTTTATCATTGCCTGGCTGTGTAACGCACTCCAAGGATCTTTACCCAGGGCTGGTAGCCTCCACGGATAGAAAATGGTCTGCCATGAGGGCTGTGGCTGCTGGCCATTTCCTGTGGGGCATCTCAAGAGGGCTGTTAGGGAGCAACTCACCATCCATGAAGGAGAGCTGCCCTCGTGTGTAAAGACAGTGCCACTGGGTGAGCACCTGCTGACCACCGAAACTCCAAAGATTTATTTTGGAAACACAGACTTGATTTCTACTCCACTTACAAGTAGTAAGATTAATGCATATAACCAAGCATTCTAATAGTGCATTTGTTTAAAAACCTGTCAATGGAATAGCTTAATGGAATGAGTTTCTTTGCAGCAAATATAAAATATGTCAAATCACTGAAGGAAATACTGTAAGGTAGCATATAAATAAAACATACCTTCGCTGAAGTCTGTCTAACTGTGCAAGTGAATTGTTATTTTAAAGCAATTCCAACAACAATTGTATGGGATAATCACAATAAAAGGAATTGCAACACTAGTGCTTTGAAATGGCAAGTTTTGCATTTTTAAAGAATGTAGTTATTTTCCTCAAAGAGTCCTACAGAGAAAGACAGGGACATAGGATTCTCTGCTTGAAGCGTTCTGCTGCTGAGGAAGAATTTGCAAGTCAAAGCTTACTTGCATTCAATTCTCAACACAAGGAAAATAAAAGCCATGAAAGCTATCTTTAAGGAGAAATTCTAAAGATTATTAGAAACCTCTTTGAATAAACTAAAAGGAAAACAAAGCAGAGAAATAAAATGAGGCTTGAAATTTGGTCTGCTGCCTCTAAACACCTGGGGGCCAACATGCTGGGGTCTCGCGAGCACAGTCACAGTGGGCATTTTTGTAAGGGCAGCTCCTGTCCCCAGCTTGACTAAAGTGTTAGACGCGGTTGGTTTCAGAGCTGGTCCCTGGCTGCAGCTGACTCACTGTGCAGTTGGGAATAGAAGACATCATGACACAAGTGCATGCACAAGCACACACATATGACTAACAGCGCAGACCAGCCACTGTGTGTGACCTGAATACATCTCTTTAATGAGACCTTTCAGGCAGCTTAATAAATTGGCAACAGAGGCATAGTACTGTGGCTTTGAAGTTATCTTAACATAACCTTCACAAGGGCTGGGGATTTGGCTCAGTGCTTTCACCACCTGCTGTGCTAAGCGCAAGGAGCCGAGTTCAATCCCCGGTACCAAAAAAAAAAACAGAACACTCTCCCCTAAGGACATGTTCTCTTTGCTTTCTCTAACTCTAAGTGGGGAGAACAAGGCTGGCTCACATGGATGGGTTTGGAGGCAAAGAATCTCAAACAATCAAGCAAAGTCACTGTGATGACTTAGATACAAATGGGGGTGATTACAGTTGAGGACAGAGGGGTGCAGGAGTTTAGGCTAACACCCAAAGATCAGAGGGAGGCAGGGGATGCCTCATAGGGTCCTTGGGAACAGAGGCTGTTTCACCATCCTCCACAGAGGGCTTCTACTCATGGTTTCCAGATGGCTGGTTGGGCTCCAGCCATTATGTCTGGATTTTAGCCAGCAGGAGAGAGGGCACAGAGAAGAACATGCCATACCCTGTAAAGCTGCCTCTTAAAATTCTCGGCCTACATCTCTACCTGCAACCCATCAGCCAGAACTTAGTCTCATGGCCCAGTGAGCTACAAGGGAGGTTAGAAAATACGACCTTTATCCTGGGCAGTGCAATACACCAGGGGCTCGCTGAGAAGCAATTGGGGAAAGCTGATATTGGAGGCCTCTGTGATAAGGAATTAATCCAAGACACTTACGGTTTATATCTGGCTGTCCCAGTCCAAGGCTCCTGTGCTCAAAGGTGGGGCTTTTGGAAGGTGATTGTGAAGTAGAAGATTACGGCTCGACAAAACCGGGTTGAGCAAGTGGGCATTGCCTGTCCGTCATGAAGGCCCAAAACCCAGGTACAGAACCCGGAATCCAGGATGACTGAGCAAGCTCCCGGACCCTGTGTGTGGGACTCCGGGACTAATCAGAAAGGGCTATCTTCTGTTCTTCCTTTACGTCTGGTATGAGACCAAACAGACCTTTAACAGGAGCTTAAATCTGACATCAGGCCAAGTGAGTCTCTTTTTTTTTTGCTTCTTTTATTGGTGCATTTTAGGTATACAATATGTTTACATTTATCATTGGGTGTTTGTACCTGAACATGATGTATCTTGGTTCTTATTTTTTCCCCATTACCTGTGCATCCTTCACCCCCTCCACCCTTCCCTATTTACAAAG